CTGTCCCCTCCTGTCCCCTCCTGTCCCCTCCCCGTGCCCAGGGTCACTCTCACTCTGTCCCCTCCTGTCCCCTCCTGTCCCCAGGGACGTTGCTCAACTGGCTCAAGATCTACGAGGAGCCCGTGTCCACCCCCGAGAAGATGAGGAGGTGACAATGGGGACACAGGGGGGCACAGGGCCGGGGGGGACAGTGGGGACATGGAGGGGCACAGGGGGGAGGGGAGGGTCCTCCGTGCCCGAGTCGCCGTGTCCCCTCTGTCCCTCTGTCCCCATGCCTTCACATCCCCGTGTCCGTGTCACTCTGTCCCCATGTCCCCATGTCCATTGTCACACTGTGTCCCTGTGTGTCCATGTCCCCATGTCCCCATGTCCCCACGTCCCGTGTCCCTGTCCCCTGTCACTCTGTCCCTGTCTCCAGCTGTGTCCCCGTGTCTGGCCGTGTCCCTGTGTCCGGCTGTGTCCCTGTGTCCCCACGTCCCGTGTCCCTGTCCCCTGTCACTCTGTCCCCGTGTCCGGCCATGTCCCTGTGTCCCCACGTCCCGTGTCCCTGTGTCCGGCCGTGTCCCCATGTCCTGTGTCCCTGTCCTCTGTCACTCTGTCCCCGTGTCCGGCCGTGCCCCCACGTCCCGTGTCCCTGTCCCCTGTCATTCTGTCCCTGTCCCCTGTCACTCTGTCCCCGTGTCTGGCCGTGTCCCTGTGTCCGGCCATGTCCCTGTGTCCCCACGTCCCGTGTCCCTGTGTCCAGCCGTGTCCCCACATCCCGTGTCCCTGTCCCCTGTCACTCTGTCCCCACGTCCCGTGTCCCTGTGTCCGGCTGTGTCCCTGTGTCCCCACGTCCCATGTCCCTGTCCCCTGTCACTCTGTCCCCGTGTCCGGCCGTGTCCCCACATCCCCACATCCTGTGTCCTTGTCCCCTGTCACTCTGTCCCCACGTCCCGTGTCCCTGTCCCCTGTCACTCTGTCCCTGTGTCCGGCCGTGTCCCCATGTCCCCGTGTCCCCACATCCCGTGTCCCTGTCCCCTGTCACTCTGTCCCCATGTCCCCGTGTCCCCATGTCCCGTGTCCCCACGTCCCGTGTCCCTGTCCCCTGTCCCCATGTCCCCATGTCCCTGTGTCCGGCCGTGTCCCCGTGTCCCCACGTCCCGTGTCCCTGTCCGCAGGACGCTGTCCCAGCCCGGGGGACGTCAGCAGTTCCTGGCGGGTCCCATCCTGTCCTGCGGGGCCCCGGACCCGCGGGCGCCGCGGCCGTGGCACGGCCGGCGGGTGGACAGGGTGCTGCTGCGGAGGGAGCCCGCGCTGGCCACCGTGAGTGACCGCGGGACCCCGGGACCCCCGGGACCCCCGGGACCCCCGGGACCCCCAGGGACCCCCGGGACCCCCAGTGACCCCCAATGAACCCTGTGACCCCTGTGACCCCTGTGACCCCGCGCTGGCCACCGTGAGTGACCGCAGGACCCCGGGACCCCCGGGACCCCCGGGACCCCCGGGACCCCCAGGGACCCCTGTGACCCTGCGCTGGCCACCGTGAGTGACCGCGGGATCCCGGGACCCCGGGACCCCAGGGACCCCCAGGGACCCCCAGGACCCCCCTGGGATCCCCCTGGGACCCCTGTGACCCCCAATGAACCCCAATGAACCCTGTGACCCCGCGCTGGCCACCGTGAGTGACCGCGGGACCCCGGGACCCCCAGGGCCCCCAGTGACCCCCAGTGACCCCCTGGGACCCCCAGTGACCCCCCGCTGTCCCCACAGGAGGTCACCGGCTACTTGGTCATCACCCAGCTGGCCACACTGTCTGACCACCTGCCCGTGGCCCTGCGGCTGCGCCTGGGGCCCGCTGACCTCTGACCCCGCACGGACACGGGGCTGGACACGGGGCCGGACACGGGGCCGGACACGGAGCTGGACACAGCTCGGACTTGAGAGTGGTCACAAACTGGACACGGGGCCGGACACGGGGCTGGACACGGGGCCGGACACAGCTCGGACTTGAGAGTGGTCACAAACTGGACACGGGGATGGACACGGGGCCGGACACAGCTCGGACTTGAGAGTGGTCACAAACTGGACTCAGCACCGGTCACTGCACTGACCCCAGTGTGACCTCGGTGTGACCATGGCTCCGGTCACTGCTCCGGCCACTGCTCCGGCCACTGCTCCGGTCACTGCTCCGGACACAGCACCGGTCACTGCCCCGGTCACTGCTCCGGTCACTGCTCCGGTCACTGCTGTGACCCTGGCGTGACCCCGGTGTGACCCTGGCGTGACCCCGGCGTGACCCCGGGGGCCCGGCCGTGTCCCCACAGGTGTCACTGACCAGGGTGACCCTGGGGATGATCAATAGCGGCATTGATCCGGTATTGGGGCTGGATCGGTGCAGGATTGATCCAGCATTGATCTGGTATTGATCCAGCATTGATCCGGTATCGGGGCTGGATCGGTGCAGGATTGATCCAGCATTGATCTGGTATTGATCCAGCATTGATCTGGTATCGGGGCTGGATCGGTGCAGGATTGATCCGGTATTGATCTGGTATTTATTGACACAGCATTGATCTGGTATCAGGGCAGAATCAGTGCAGTATTGGTCCAGTATTGATCCAGTATAGAGGCAGGATCAGTGCAGTATTGATCCACTATTGGTGCAGCATTGATCCAATATTGATCACTATTGGTGCAGTATTGATACAGTATCAGTGCAGGATGGATCCAGCATTGATCTGGTATTGGATCAGGACTGGTTTGATTGATCTGACATTGATCAGGTATCAGTGCAGGATGGATCCAGTATTGATCCGGTATCAGAGGAGGATCAGTCTGCTATTGGTCTGACATTGATCATGTATCAGCGCAGGATGGATCCAGTATTGATCTGGTATCAGAGCAGGATCAGCCTGCTATTGATCTGACATTGATCCGGTATCAGAGCAGGATCAGTCTGCTCTTGGTCTGACATTGATCAGGTATCAGCGCAGGATGGATCCAGTATTGATCCGGTATCAGAGCAGGATCACCCTGCTATCGATCTGACATTGATCAGGTATCAGTCCAGCATAGATTGGGCATTAATCCGGCATTGATCCAGCATTGATCTGTATTGATCCGGCATTGGCCCAGCATTGACTGGGCACTGCTCTGGCATCAGCCGGGCTTTGCTCCGGTGCTCTGCTGTCGGGATTCAGTTCATGAAGGAATTTTGGAAATCTCTGGTGTGGGCTGAGTTTGGGATCGATCCCAACCCTGCCCCGTGAGCTGGGAATGGGAACGGGAGAGGGAACGGGACCGGGAATGGAAATGGGAATGGGAACGGGAATGGAAATGGCAACGGGAATGGGAACGGGAATGGGAATGGAAATGGGAATGGGAACGGGGATGGAAACGGGAGAGAGAACGGGAATGGGAACGGGAATGGGAATGGGAATGGGAATGGGAATGGGAACGGGAATGGAAACGGGAGAGGGAACGGGAATGGGAGCGGGAATGGGAACGGGAGAGGGAACAGGAACAGGAATGGAAATGGGAACGGGAATGGAAATGGGAATGGAAATGGGAACGGGAACGGGAACGGGAATGGGAATGGGAACGGGAACGGGAATGGAAACAGGAATGGGAATGGGAGTCCAAACGGGAACGGGAATGGGAAGAGGAATAGAAATGGGAACGGGAATGGGAATGGGAACGGGAATGGAATGGAAACAGGAATGGGAACGGGAATGGGAACAGGAATGGGAATGGGAAAGGGAACAGGAATGGGAACAGGAATAGGAACGGGAATGGGAGCGGGAATGGGAACAGGAATGGGAGAGAGTCAGGATTGGGAATGGGAAGTGATCGGGAACGAGAATGGGAACGGCCCCAGGAGAGAGCTGGGATTGGGAACGGGAAGGGATTGGGAATGGGAATGAGAACGGGGACGGGAGTGGCCCCAGGAGAGTCGGGATCAGGAATGGGGGATGGGAATGGGGGATTGAGAACGGGGTATCGGGAACGGGGGATGGGAATGAGGGATCGGGAATGGGGGATCAGGAATGGGGGATGGGAATGGGGGATGGGAATGGGGGATGGGAATGGGGGATGGGAATGGGGGATGGGAATGGGGGATGGGAATGGGGGATGGGAATGGGGGATGGGAACGGGGTATCGGGAACGGGGGATTGGGAATGAGGGATCGGAACGGGGGATGGGAACGGGGG